GCAAGCTGGAACCCCTGTCTGTGGCGGCGTGTATCTACAGAGGTAAAAAAATGTCAAACGCCGCGGGAGCATTTTACACAATTATACTCCTGCTTACTCACGTCATACGGTGGTTACTTACGTCCGCTCCCTTTTTATTATACTTTCTTTATATATATATATATAAACGGGACAGAAGAATTTCTGAGAAGTGAGATATTCTCGGATACGATGAACGATCGTCGGAAAAGGAATGCAAGAGATCAAGTAAGAACTCTCTCACAGGAGTCAGGACACAGCCGAGCGCCGAGCCAGCCCCCGGACGCGGACCCTGGTTTCCCTCAGCGGCACGACCACGAGACTGTTGCATTCCGCGAGACTGACGTGATACTCTCTTGCATTCCTTTTTTCCGATCTCTTGCATTACTCCGCACTCCGCGAGCGGACTGACGCGAAGGAGGTGAAGGAAGAACGAAAAAAGAAAATCGTACCGCTCACCTTACCTGTTGCTTACCCTTACCACGCCTCGTGAGCAAAATTTTCCATGCACACCGAGATCGCGTGTCACAACGTGTACAAGACATGCAAGATGCACGGGCCGCGGCCCCGGAGAGAGCGCTCGCTACCCCGTCGCGCCGTGGCGCTCATCCGCCGCACCCGCTGCTGGCGCGGTGGCCTCCTGCCCTAACCGCTAACTATAACCCGAAGAATGATCGAAGTGTCGACGTCTACCACTAGTCGGGGCTGCCGCGACGCCGCAGCGCGGGCCTGGGAGGGTGAAGGGAGGGGGGGGAGGGGGTGAGGTAATGTCTCAACGCGCACGCAGAGTGGTGGAGTAAACGGTGGGCAGTGCCTCGCCTCTCCACACCCCGTGAGCCAGGCGGGCGCCCCACGGCATGCCACACGCAAGGCGGGGAACGCGCGGGTTGGCCGCGCGAGTGCGTGTGGGTGACGGGTGAGGACGGAGAGCACTGCTGAGATCGTACCAGACACTGACGAGCCGCAGCTCGGCCAGGGGAGGTGAAGTGATGCAGGACCTTCCTTGGTCTGTGAGTGCGCACCTCTCAGTCCCACTCGTCGGCCGCCACCAGCTCCTGCAGCATCTCGGTGAGGCTCGCCAGCCCGAGCAAGTACCTGAGGGACATGTCGTGGACATGTCGTGGACATGTCGTGGACGCGTCGTGGACATGTCGTGGACACGTCGTGGACATGTTGTGGACGCGTCGTTGGCGTGTCGTGGACGCGTCGTGGACATGTCGTGGACGCGTCAGGCGCACGCCTTGCGGGCGCGTCAGGAGGCGGCGGTGCGCGCGGAGGCACAGGGGCGTGCGGCCCTTGGAGAAGAGAAGAGAAGAGAAGAGAAGAGAAGAGAAGAGAAGAGAAGAGAAGAGAAGAGAAGGGCCTTGGAGAAGAGGTGATGGGAGGTGCGCGAGGGATGGCGAGCAGCGGAGCACGAGGTGCCTCGGACGTGTCTGGGAGGTGCCTGGGAGGTGTCTGAGAGGTGTCTCGGAGGTGTCGCGGAGGTGTCGCGGAGGTGTCGCAGAGGTGTCGCAAGCACCCGTCCTCGCGGTTCCCAGGCACCCACGGCACGTCGTGCTGCAGCGGCGCCGGAGCCTCGCGCGTCACGCCTGGCCGCCATTGAATCCAGGTTAGCCAGCGGTCGGACGAGCGAGGCGCTTCACCGAGGGGCGGGCGGCGGGAGGGGCGGAAGATCTCGGCGGCATCTCGGCGGCATCTCGGCGGCATCTCGGCGGCATCTCGGCGGCATCTCGGCGCAATCTCGCCAAAGTCGATCATCCACGCGCCGGCGCGGCACGTCTCGTCGGCAACGAGGAGGAGGGTGGTCCCGATCAGCTCTAGAGGGGGGAGGGACGGGCGGGGGTGAGCTAGGAGGAGGGTGGTC